GTTCGGCTCTGGAACAATAAAAATGTGTGGGTTTTTTTTTTTGGGGGGGGACAGGGTTTGTTTTTTTGTTTGTTGTTTTTTTTAGAAGAGTAAAGGAATGGCTATATAGTCCAAAAGAGATCAGTTCTTCTGTAAATAACATTACAGAGGTACAGCCAGAATCTACTAAGCATGCTGACTCAACTCTCTAACTGTAGAAAGAAAAATTATCCAGAGATGATCAAAGATGAGTGAAAAAATAACACTCATTCTACATTTTTGTTGTTCCTGTTTCTGTGTAATGGTTGACTCAAATATTTTTTCTAAACAGTGATGTGTTTTTCTGTTTTCATCAAGAATAACAGTTGAACATTTTTTCAAATATTCTTAACTAGCGGAAGATGACTATTACAGTAGTAACAGTCCAGCAGCTTGCAATATTCTAAATCAGGTTATAGCTCTTAAACAGGATATGTCCCTTGTTATTCATGGCTGACATTTTATTACGCAATAGATTTACTGAATTAGATCGCAAAAGGGCTGACAAGTTTCCCATGGTAGTGCATGCTTTCATGGAAACCTTTTTTTGAATTTATTATACTCTCCTCAAGCTTTTTTGTCTTACCTGCTTCCAAAACATTCCTATATGAAACAGGTCTTTTCTGAAGGTATTTTACAATATTACAGTGCTTATTCTTCTTCTTTCACATGCAAAAGACAAAATTCCTTAGCTCCAAAAGTCTCTTTTCTCATGCAGTATTTCCAGAATATTTTACACTTATCTATCATCTTCATACTACATAGACACGAGCATAAATATCAAATGAGGAGCCTGAATAATTATACCTATGGATTATTTTCTTACAGACATGATAACTGTTAACAGTTATATGGAAGGACAGTTACCTGGGACTGGTTGGGGAAAGGAGTTGTATCAACAAAGTACTTGCTCGCTTGGGGGTATGCAGGTAAAGGTAGCTGGAGCGTGGCTTACTTTATCTCTAACATATGGCTCCATTTCTGACACGAAGTAAAAATCTGCCTGGCCTGACCCTAGTGCTTGGAATACATCTTCATTTATTGCAGAAATCATTAAGATTCAGAAACTAAGTTATCTGCATCTCTGTGGAACTTCAGGTATTATGGGTTTGTAATTATAATTAATTTCACATTCTTCAAAAAGTGCCACTGATTTCGATAAGCTTCTTCAATGAACCTAAAATATACCCAGCAAGTTTTTTCATGTTTTTGCACTGGTTTTTGTTCATTTTTCTTGAGCAGCTCTGTTCAATTAGTTCATGTATGTGGTGTGGATAGAATAAAAAAACAATAATCCAAAACACTGGAATATTGTTCCTGTTTTCTCTCTGTCTTTAAACTCAAACTGGTTTGTTGAAGGATTTCAGGTTGGTCCCGTGCTGACAGAGAATATCTGATAACGTATATGGACATCAGTTTTCACCCCTCTTGCTTTCATTATTATTGTCATTCTCATTTATGATTTAAAATACAGTCTTTTCATTTCCCCCAACCTGAAGTGCACTATCAATTTTTTTTCTAGATTGCTATATAGCAGCCTATTGCAGCTGCTGAAGGAAGCCATGGGAGCAGGTCAGAAGGTACCCTTGTGCTCCTTTGGAAATATATTCAGCTTTACAAGTCAGTGCATCTAACTTGCAGGTTTAGGTCACAAGTGAGAGTATTAAAGGTGGAAAACCACAAACGGGAGTTAGGTGCAAAGGAAAAGCAACATAGAAAAACTATTTTCAGAACTATAGTTATACCAAAATAGTTTCTAGAAATAATGTTTACTTACCAGACTAACTGTGATTCTTTGATGTGTGTTATCCATGGAGATCTCAAGCTCACTACTCTTCTTAGGTCTCTGCTTGCCTATGAAGTCAGTGTTCTTCCATGCTATCACTGACATTGTAAAATAAACCCCTTATTACATCCAGTCTAAGAAGTTTAATTTCCCACGGCACTGGCACATTTTGTTCTAGTGTGGGGTTTAAAAGGGTGTGGGTGGGTGTGTACTCTAAGAGATTAATGCAATCATTTATGAAAAATTGGAACATTTGAGCAGATTAGGACATGGACTGGAAGTCTCCCTGTGCTGGTAAAGATCACACTATTAATTTAAGGTCTGGCTATCCTTTGGCTCTCAAGCTCACATAGTATCATATAAAATGCTGCTTTACTGTTATCACCTATCAGGTTGCTAAAAATTCAAGGCTATTCATATACCTTGCTAATACTATACCCACAACCTCAGAATGACTTAACCTTTCCACAGAGTCTGCCTGTGAAAGGCACAATAAGACTGGTCGAGGCTGACAGTAATGCTCAGATGGACGCTTACGTAACCAATGTAACACCCCACCACCACCACCCTGTCAAGATCAGCAAGCATCCTACTACTCCTGAAATAAGGTGATGTAAAGCAAGCTTCTTGGATGGGGGAAAAAGTCACTCAATTTTAAGTCTTTCCATTGGAATTACTCCTGCTTCAAGATTGTTGTGAACTTCAGCTAAGCACTTCTGGTCAATACATGCGGTGTCTTCAAATAATAAATTGAGTGTAGCCTAGGATTTTATTTAATTTAGAGACTGAGAGACAGAAGACATAATTTGGGGGTTGCCTAACACCCCATAGGTCAGTTCCAAAAACTCTGGATCCCATGGTCCACTGAAAAAATACTGCAGTAATAGCATATGCTATTCATCTGCTTTGGTTTCCTCCAGAACATGGATACAATAAGGATTACAAAAAAGCCTATCCCAGGGACCAGAAAACGAAAAAGCTTCTGAAGTGGAAGCAAGAATACAGATTACATTGGAGTATTTCTTTTTCTTGCTCTATAGAATAGTTTCTACTGACTCCCAGCAAAAAACAATCACAAATATGGGTGCTCTGTGCCACTGGATCAATCAATGACAACTGGAGAACATGAGAGACTTATCTGCTCTCCTACTGGAAACCTAATATACTGCTAGTACTTGTGGAAGAGTTTCATTTAGAAGACTTGTGAGAAAGCAAGGCATGAAATTGCTGCTTTCCAACCATGCCTACTTACGTGACTAGAGGCTGGTACAAAGCCTAAGCAGCTCTGCAGTATCAATCACCTTCAGAGAGCAAGCAAACTGAGCCCAGTTAGCATTCCCTTTTCCTACACCTCATTCTGAGGGCCTCCACTCTCACAGATTGTCAGAATGCCTTCAGTCAACCAGACAGAATGTGACATGGTAGTGATCCATCAAGAGATGATGAACTGCAAATTATCACATAATATGCAACTATCTTACCTGTTGATACTTATGGCTGTAACCAATTTCTCCACTGAAATTTATACTGCTTGGGAGAAGGGAATCCACCCTTCCAGCAGAGCCCAGTCAGTAAGCTATTTCAAAATAGAATTTCATACTTTATGATACCCAGCAGATTTACCCAGATTAATGGCAATACAGATAACTTGAGCCACCTGATTGGTACACTTTGCAAACTTCCCTACTCAAAATTATTAAAGCACCCAGCAACTGAACCATTCTATAGAATTCCTTTGGTCTCCATTTTGGATTTTGTGCATCGGGTCAGTAGCCAATCTTCAACTGCCTAGTCCAGAGATGTCAGAGGCCTGCTGACTTGCCTGCAGACTACAGAGTGCTCACAGTTTTGTGACGAAGGATCTGCACAAGACAGTAACTGAGAAAGGACTCCTTAGCTTTTGAATTAACAAAAAGATAGCAGTATTTCTATAAACAGGAATAAAATAAATCTAGTGTTTGCCAATAATATTAATTATTAACCAGGCAGTTTCAACATAAAAAGGTATTGGCAAGTTTTACCTTGGTTCCACAGGGGCAGCTAATCAGATCTGAGGTGAAGGAGGAGAAGGAAGGGAAGATATAGGAAGCTATAGGAATCTAGGAGATGGGTAAAGCCCAAATGGATATTTCTAGCCAGAAGACTCCTGCAATGTTTACTTGCAAAAAGGGGAACAAAAAACCAGGGATGTGTATACTGTTTGATGAAACACGCAATTAAGAAAAAGTGACTTCCAGAATAAACCCCAACAGGCACTAGTAATTTATATTCAGTACACACTTCAAATTAAAAATGTGATAATGTAATGCAATCAAGCTAGAATTATATAGAAGATGATAGAATATATAGATACACATAAATCTACCATAAAATATTAACACTCCAGATACTTAAAAATAACCAGTGCGTTGCTTTTAAAAAGCATGAGTAGTTGTTGTGGGTATTCAGAGCAGCAATATCTATTGTGCAAACAAAAGAAAAACAGATTTAAATGAGAACTTACATGACCTTTGACCTAGCTCAGGTGCCTGGGGCAGTCTGGATACAGCAACACGCAACAGCTACATTTTCCTGCTTCTGTAAGGTACCACTACTGAGGCATGTATGGAACCAATAAACACACACATGCACTAACTGTTGGGAGAAAACAAAAACAACATCAGCCTGGGACTAGACTTCAGCTGTCTAAAACAGAGACACATTCTTTAAGGACAAATACTGCTTCTGTATAAAGCAGGTGAACATGAAACAGTTACTGGGATTTTCATGTGTAAAGGTGATTTGGTGGTTGTCACTCCAGGAAAAAAAAAAGTTTAGAAGTCACAGTGGGCAGCAGCAAATACAAGTCTCCACCTAGGTATGACAAGGAATGTTCTTTGGTTTTTAGCTCCTGAGCAGAATTGTGTTACAGCTGCTCTACCAAGCAAACACCTAAACGTACCACCTTTGGTAATTCTCACTTTAACACAGGTCAGCAGTATCACATTCTAGATGGCTGTGGGTAGCTTTGGATTTTGCCTTTTTTTTTTTTTTAATTTGTGTGTGTCTTCCCCTCCCCCCTTTTTTCAGCATACTGGGTGGTTTTGTTTGCTTGTTTAGCATATGATGCAACTTTTTATTAAACATGTTTTAACTCACCAGTGAGGTATAAGGCAACTCAGTCTCTGCTCTGAACAAAAGACAGGACAGCTTTATGTAGAGATAACATCCCCGAAGCAGCATTTTATTTTATTCATTTAATCCCGAAACATTTAATTTAGAAGTCTGGCATCTCAGTCATCCATCTTAACATGGGCTAATATTGACATAGTGTTGTCAGAATACACAGACAACTAAACAGCCAAAGAGTTTACAAAAAATAAATTCATGATTCTTCAAAACAATTGCAAAAGGTTACAAGTATCAAAACTCTTAGGTAGATGCACTGCATTGAAAGAAACTGTGCACACAAGTTAGAGGCAAAAAACCCAAATTGCTACTGAAACCTCACATTTCAAACAGATTATTGTAAACTGATGAACAGGGTTGTCATTTCACATCAGCTTGACTGTTTCCATCGACAGAAAAAAATTTGGGGTGGCTAATTTACTTTGCATGCACAAAACGTACTGCTTAACTGAACTGTCAGCTCATTTCAGATGGAAAAAATGTAACTGGAATCTACCTTCAATGGCTTTCTGCTATTCTTTCCCATATTTTCCAATCAACAGGCAAACTAAAAACGCCTCATTTACTATGTATCTTTCTGCACTGCTCAAGTGCAACTAAGATAAATAGGGGCAATACACCAATCAATCCATCAATGCCCATGAAGACTGATCTGAAACTGCTTCTTGATAAAGTGGACAGCAGATCTGAACAGCTGTACAATACAGATATGCTTAGCACTAGATATTTAGTGTGACTGTGGCAAGGAAATATTGGTGATGATGGGGATGGTGAAATGGATGAAAGAGGGATCGGAGGAAAGCTTTTTAATTATTGCCTTCTCCTGCTTCTTCATCTTGCTGATCACTCGTCCACAGAGTGAGGTTATCTCGAAGTAACTGCATGATGAGGGTGGAGTCCTTGTAGGAATCCTCATTTAGTGTGTCCAGCTCAGCTATGGCATCATCAAAGGCTTGTTTGGCTAAAAGGCAGGCCTGCTCAGGAGCATTCTGGATTTCATAGTAGAACACTGAGAAATTGAGTGCCAGCCCCAGCCTAATTGGGTGAGTGGGCTGCATGTGCTCCTTGCTGATTTCAAAAGCCTCTTTATAGGCAGCTTCTGAGGCTTCCACAACACTGTTCTTCTTCTCTCCAGCAGCAACTTCTGCCAAATAGCGGTAGTAATCCCCTTTCATTTTCAGATAAAAGACCTTGCTCTCGTACTGGAAGTCATTGCAGTTCTTGATCAAGTATTTATCTAGGAGAGCCAGAACATCATTGCAGACTGTCTCAAGCTCCTTCTCTATCTTCTCCCTATATGCTTTAACCTTCTCCAGCTTCTTCTCATTCCCATCTGCCATAGTCTTCTGCTCGATGCTGCTGATGACACGCCAGGAAGACCGTCTAGCTCCAACTACGTTCTTGTAGGCTACAGACAGCAGGTTCCTATCCTCATTTGATAGAGGCTCATTCAGCTCAGTTACCTGAAAATACAGATAAAGATCAAATTTAAAGAGCATGCAAACTTCCTTCAATAATTTCTTCATGAAGTGCAAGATTAAAAATTCCTTCTAGACCCCCAAATTCCATCTAGACGGGACTCAATTTGTAATGTAGAAAGTTTAAAACTATTTAAGCAATCAAGACTTAAGAGTGAAACCCCATGGTTCTGCTATAATAGAACAGGTATTCAGAAGCCATTGCAAAGCACGTTCACTGAATAAAAGTGAGTCAGGCTTGTGTAATGGAGAAGCATTCAGAGAAGGCAAGCTCATTTTTTTTTAGGAAGTCCACTATAATTACACAGACTACACACTTAGTGATGAATTTAAATGTACCTAGAACATGAGTGTTATGAATCTGGAACACAGCACAGACACTGGACACTGGTGCAGTTCTTGCCCCTGCTGCTTGCTCTCACTCGACAGCAGAGACGGAAGCGCTGCAGTCGCTATGATTAAGTTCTGCACAGTACAAATGGAATTAGTGTTTCACAGTATCTACCACTTACTGAGCAATTATACCATGTAATACAAAAGTTATAATGATTTCTGCTAACTGGTGGCTGCAGACAAATTTCAGGGATAGGACATGAAAGGAACTGCATAGAAACAGAACAGAAAATCAAGGAAAAAATGCAGTCAACTCCAAACTCCAAGTACAAAAAAGCTGATAGAGGAAAGATAATACTTCTAATACTGTATTTGGACCTACTTGACTTACTTTGTTAATTTAGGGAATAAAACCTTCTGCAAATTTACAAACATGAAACCAAGCTCAGGAATTATGATTAAAAATGTAACTTTGCCACTTTAAGCAGACCGCATTAACAGAAGTCACTAGATTTTGAAGTATATATACTTCAGTGTGAACATAAACTAGTCCTTGCACAGAGCTGCTAAAATGATTAACTATTTCTTTAAAGATGTGCATATTTTGTCTGCTTGACAGGCATCAGAATGTTTGCAACCAGTTACTTACTACAAATAATAAGTCACAAATATTTACACTATTCTGAGACTGCAGATGTAGCCAGTGAACCATCCAATAAATGTGCATCTTTCCATGTCTAAAAAATAACTTCTATGAATTATAACTGTTACAGTAAGAGAGAGATTACTTTCAAATTTAGATTTTGTTCTTAATATTCTAAGACAATTAGTTTTATCTCCAAAATTTCTTCTCCCTTCAGCTTAGGAACCTGAACTCCCAAAAGACACTGCTCTGCTTGGCCTAATACACTTGGAGATGATCTTACAGGAATTACCATTAACCTGGAAAGAGTATTCCAGGTTTGTTTTTTTTTTCCTAGTCTTTTTTCTCTTTTCTAGTGTTATTAATTTGTATTTATTTTTATTTAACATTTACTTTTATTAATTTTTAATCGCAAAAAATTCATCACAACACCTCCCCTGTAAAAGTTGCTTTATAAAGCACACTTGCACAGGAGCTACTGCAACTGCAGAAAAAAGCCTTGACGCTCCCTAATCACAACCAAAATTCAACGTAAATGTTGATAAACAGCAAATTTCAGAAATTTCTGAAGATCACATTAGTATAGGGATGATTTCATAAAATCTAGTGTGAACTCTGGCAATCTTGGCTGGTCTTTACTCAATGTTCCATATTAAAAGTAGGTCTGTAGTACAATCTTTAAAATGCAGTGTAACTTTTGGAAGTATCTTCACACTAAATTTAGACTAGCCAGTTAAGGTTTAGCTGTTGCATCAGCTTGGGCTGAATAAGTTTTCTAAAATGCTCAATAAACACCAGACTAACAGAATTTATCCTGACATATTAAGACTGAGAAATGGCAGGGAAGAGTAAAGACACATTCATGTGAAACACAACAGAAAAACAGCCCAGGAAAAAAGCCATCTCTCAGGATTAACTGCAGAACAGTTGTTCCTATGTGAGAAAGTTCACTTCTTAATCAAAAATCAAAGTATCTAAGAGATAAGACTAGGAGACTTAACTGAGAGACTATTCCAGGTCACCACTAGACTGCTGTATAATTTCACTCCAAAGATGACTTCAACTCACCTTGAAATTGTTCCTTAAAGGAAAATTTAAGAGAAGCCAATTCAACCTGCTTAGGAGGCATTTACTAACTTTGAGATGTATCAGAAGTTATTGATGTATATTGGAGAATCAGCAACCACCATCAACTGAAGTCCATGGCAAATTATTCCCATTCTAGCTGAAAAACACTGATATTCTATGTAGATAGATCTAAAAATTGCCTCTCCCTTGACAATCACACCTGCCATTACAAGAAACTAGACCCAAAGGAAAACATGTGACCTTTATGGAGCTATCTACTGTTTTATCTATTTCTGATACGTAAGCAAAGTAGATAAAAACAGACAGGTTTTTCTTCACATGTAGGGATGACAAGAAATGCTGAAGGCAATTTATTTCTTCTGTCTTCCGTTCTAGCTATAGCCTTTCCTTCACAGAAAAGATATTAGACTGCAATAACTTACTGCTACATTTTAGACGTACACACACTTTCTTATAATGGCTGCTAAGAAAACCAGAAGCACTTAAAAGATGAAAAGCCATTCGTAGTATAACTTCCCAGCAGCAGTTATTTACTCAGGTGTTATCCTGCTTCCTTTATGCAAACACATCTCTCACACCTGAGGCTGGGGTTAGTTATGCTCAAGGTCAATTAATGTACATAGATAAAACCTTCTAATTAAACTAGAACCTCAAGCTATTTTGATTAAAAAACCTTCAGATCATTCCACAACTTAAAGCTATTTCACACTGAGTAGTATTTCACACTCAGATTTTTAAATTATGTATCTCATGTACCTCTGATTCATCTAAGCAGTTTTAAAGCTACCTGTAAGGTTGCTACACTAAAAAAGCACCATAAGTTAACAGAGGTCCTGAGCACTACGTATGAGGATTAATCTGTTTGAAATACTAAGGGTTTATGTTTAGCAGTTGCTGGACTGATGTAGAACAAAAGGTACTCAATGCTGCTTTCTCGAACGCTCGAGTATTTGCTCCGTCCAGGGAGAAACTTTAACACTTAACATACATCTTTCCCCAGTATGCCAAGGAATTTTTTCACCTACTGTCTAGTGTTATTTCAAGTAATTGAAAATGTGGAGCAGCACGTAATGTAACAAGTGTGACACACCTCTTGGAGAATGCCATTTAGTAGAAGCACACTTACATATGATAGTACTTTCTATTAAAATATTTCTGGCTCAAAAAAAGTAAACTAAATTCATTAATTTATAACAGCAAACTAAGCAGAAGTTTCATTTCCCTCTCCTGTCTACATTTTATAAGCCAAAATACTAAATTGTTCTGAGAAAAACAAGTTTAACAGCAACAGCAAAAAAAACGTATGACCAAGCAGTAGTTTCCATATTTAAGCTACAACTAATACTTCTGGCTTTTCCTTAAAAGCAGGAATTGATAGAACTGAAAAGTAAAGATTTCTCCAGCTTTATACTGAGAGCTGAAATGGCAGCCTTGTCATACTTTTTCTTCCTTCAGTAGCAGTCCCAAAAAACAAGCAAATATGATAAAAGTCTTTTTTACATAATGTTTTAGGAGTAATTATCAGGCTATTAACTATATTGTGTATTGTAAAAGTGTGGTGATAAATAACTACAACTGAAAGTAATAATTCAGATTTCTATTTACACTGGAAGCACATTACTTCTATATAGCACTTTCAAAAACCATCAAATACATTGTATTCAGAGATTTTAATTTTTCTGGTTTTAACAACTTTTCAAATGAAGATATCCTGCATTGAGATTAGACAACTGAGTTAGAACACTGATTTTCTGTCGAAGTCTAATGTTTCTTAAAGTGCAAGATTATTCTATGATGATAAAAATTCCTCTTGATAGCTATTATTTACAATCACTAAAACAGAACGAAGCACTAGCTGTGTGAGAAAACACAGCCCACGTAACATTTCATAGGAGCTTATGCTCAGACCGACAAAATGATCCACTGAAGAGTATTCTGGAAATGTCCACAGTAGAGTGAACACCTGTGAAAACCAAGTAACCCAACAGATGGTACATTATAGGCATGCAACAGTATATGACCAGCTTAAAGTAAGGACACTGTTGCCTTTCAAATTCATCTTTCTTTTTGTATTTTTAAAGTATTGATAAATGTTTCATAAATGCTCAGACAACTCACTTGAAGTGTTCTCAAGCTCCCAATCACAGCTGCTCATCATTAGACAACTTAATTGAGAGCAGAAGTAGCATCACAGATGAGAATACTGCAACACAAGGTGAATGAAAACTGCACAGCAATCAGAACAGTTTAGAAGGACAACTGGACACTAGTTATATGTACTTTATTTATCTATTTCCTGAGGCAGAGCAACTGCATTCTGTTTGCCACACTTATGTTCAGAGCCATGCATACACTATCGTTCAGTGATGTTTGCAAAAACTAAAAAGTTATCTACAAAATACAGCTAAAATAGTCTAGAGCAGCAGTGGATTTTAGTGGTTTCTGTTTTACAATTTAGAATTAGCAATTTGAAGAAGTGAGAAACAAAGCTGCTACAACAATGCTGTATGTATTAAAAATTCTAGTGCTATCATTAAAGTACATCTTATTTTACTGTCTCGTGCCTCCGATATTGAGATACTCAGCATTGCTGCTTTACAGGCAGTATTTATTGACGCAATAACAAAATCATACAAGAGAACAAAATAAGTGTCTTTTTACCGCCCTCTTTTAAGGCACACAACATACATCACAGCCCCTGAACGAGCCCAAACAGATCGATTCTTACATCAAAAACGTCTGTTTGAAGCTGCTCTTTCAAACTAAAACCATCTTGTGTCTTTAAACAGCAGTTCTCTCAAGGGAAGCTCAATTTCTCTTGAGGCCTTCGGTGTTCACAAAGGACAGATCGGCAAGAACAAGCCAATTATAATCAGATACAGCAAAGACACTGCTAAGCATTTACTGTCATTAACCCTACCTTAAAATTCAGATTATATGAATACTTTGTTTTTAAAAAAGAGACTAGACATAGTAAGTTTGA